TAAGACAACTAGTTCAAATTATATAATGATCAGACATGAATCACATACATACCAATCAATTAAGGGTACGTTCCGAATTTGACTGCTAGTAATGCGAGCATAGTTACGTCTCACTGAATTGTACGCAAGCAAATAGGGACACGACGATACTCGTAGTTCTAGCAGTGAACTTTGAAACGTAGCCTGAATAACAAAAAAAAAACGTTATTTTGAAAGAGTATCTATTATTAATCCTTTAACATTTAGGTAAGGTCATTTGAACACCAATGATCACATTTCTCTATGTATTACGCACTAGAGCAATAGTAGCTATTGCCCCATCCTACACCAATTTCACTTTACCTCTTACCCTTTCCTCTTCTAATCCCTTTACTGAAGTGGCGTACGGCCGAGTAAAGTAAGACTGCGAACATCATTCCTGGAAGGAAGATAGGAGTCGAAAAGACCCTATTAAAGAATTGGCATACAAAAAAGCGCAGCGCGACCAACAATCAAGCTAAACATTGTACCGTAATTAATAATTTATTCATGTAAAAAACAAAACAAATAAATATATAAATAAATTTAAAAGAATTCGACTCTCATTTGTTACGTATATCGACTTCGGTCGTTTCTTTTCTTTTGGTTACTTGTAAATTATTGTTATCAAATTTAAAGGCCTCGCTAGCCACTACGGCCTACGTAACACATTAACTGAAAATTTATAAAATATTTATATAAAAGAAATTTTATTTCTTCATTCCAATTTGTTTTTTCTCTTGTATTGTGTGTCTATAATATCTAAAGTTGATAAGATATTTATACTGTATCGACGGTACTGATCTCGTATATGTGCTGTATCTCTATAGAAAAGTTGATTAACTTTGGAGCTAAATATTTTTTTATATTTGTTTCATGAAGGTATATTTCAATGCATATAAAATAAAAAGTTATTATCTGCTTCTTGAAATGATACACTTTTGAATACGCAAAAAAGTATCAGTCAGCGTGCAAATTTCATATAACAGTTATCATTTCTGAAGTACAAAAAATAAAAACGAATTTCGAATAAAGGCAAGTTTTAATCTCAAACAAAAGTGTTGACATACCGTTTTACCAACGAAAATATAGAGGAAGATGTGCCTTTCAAAATTTACCTGTTAAAATGATCGAAGATGTAGAACATTTTTAGGTTTCAATCGAAATGGTGTTTGGAGTCTCACAGACCTCATTGAAGAATTATAAAACAATATTGTTAGTCAGCTTTTGAGCTCTCAACATTCCTTATCCAAATCTATGACCGTTAAGTATAAGACTAATAATTGGACATTCTCACCGGAGTTTGCGATCAGTTCATCCTCTCGAGTCTTCGTTGTAACTCATCTATATGATGGGTTATTCAATCACTATTAATTAATCACTATTAATCACTATTAATTTTCTTAGGTCTTGTTGCCTTCTAGGGGCGGAACACTTCCTATCGTCAGCACGGTGCTCACTTATTCTCTAATTTATGCAGAATTCACCTTTTTCTTTTTAGTCATTCTCATAATACTCTTGGCCAAAGACCAAATAGCTTATTTCCTTTCTACAGTTGACATAGCTATGTCCAAATTTTGATAATTTCGACATTTAATTACATTTTTTAATACTTCCAAAATTCAGCACCACCGTTCTGAGAATTCTTTCTATTCTGATAACTTTTCTATCCCCAATGAAGAAGTTAGAAATATCTTCTATCAATATATCCACCTCCATCTTTCTCAAAACATCTACCTGGGCCGTTTTGAAATTAAGGATATACAATATCACCCATTCCTTCTTGAATTCCCCAACCTTTTTCACAAGTTTATTAGCAGCATCAGTCGATTCAAACAAAATATTCAATTTAAAGTTGTTACCCGCTAGAAATTATACTTTAAAGAACCTTAGCTGCATAATAACAAGCGCACGTGCATATCCCTTTAATAGTTCCATGGCCCGTTGGCCAAGTTCGTTTTAAAACTTTAATTGTTGCAGTGTTAGCAAAATCAGTTAAGATTTATTTTCACAACAGATTTTTTTCCTGCACTTTTTTGCTATAAAAACATTTCTATTAATTGATTTTTAAATTAATTGCAGCATTGTATTGCAGAATTGCAGTTGTGATCATTACTTGGAAATATCAAAATTGTGAATGTTTTAAACTTTACATTGTTTTAATTGCAATCTCTTGTGACAATAAAGGCCATTCTACAATGCAATATAATAACAAATAAGGAATATGAAATAAGCAATAAGATCTTCATTTGATATTTACGTAATTCCATTGGATCGTCCAATGGCCGCTTATACGCGATCTCCCGGCTGCTCAGCCTCAGCTAGCTGAAATGATACAGGGGAACGTGGGGGCGACAAGAATCGAACAATTCGGGTTACGCCAATGAAAACGCCGTTTGAAGTTTTAACATCCGTTTATTCAAATAAGAAAAAACGGAGCCAGTACAAGTCGTTCCGACGCGTACAATAACTTCCACCGGCGAGCGCGGCCTTTCGCAAGGACCGCAGGGTTAACCTTTCCCACCGTCCCTAGCTTGCCCTACCACGATTCGCGAATTACTACGACGCGGTTCGCGTTCTTGCTCGGTGCGCGAACCTCTTTCCTAGCGGAGATCTTCTCAGGTCAGCGTACCGAACGCCTGGGCCACCGATCTCCGCTCAGGCTCCGTGAAGACGGCTATGCCGGCTCTTCTCCGAGGGGAGTACGTGCAATAAGAAGGGCAGCTCTCGGCGGTACTTACCGGTGCAGCGGCTTATCCAAAAAAATATATCCCAAGCAAAACAAGTGGGCCGATTCGGGGCGAAGGCTCTTCAGCTTCGGCTGGTGTCTCTGTCCGCACTTCCATCCCTTCACATCTCCTCACTTCCCGCACAATCACCCGTAACCCTTATTCCAAAAAAACGAATCACGTTCAAGTCCAAAAGCCGCGTCGTTCACCAGAGAGATCAATTAGAACAGGCCGAGTCGTCAACGCACAAAAACACCAAAAGAAAACCAAAATTCACCGCCCGTAATCGTCCACACAATGTCTACCACGTGTTAATCGGTTGATTACCGGAAAGAGATTAAATTCGACAAATCCGAAGATTGCCGAGTCCTATTGTTACCGGTTTGCCGAATTTAGCCGAAGGAATTCCCGCCTCGCGGGAATTCCCTGCCCCCTCATCCTCCCTCGTCTAGCGGGTGGACTACAACAAAAATACCTCCCTCCCGCGGTACCTTGCTATCCAGGTCGCACGTCGGGATGATCAGGTGTTCAGCGGGCGGTTAGCGAGGAGCGGTCGGTCGGCGGCCTCATTGGCGTAGGATATTAGTGCTCGTGCCTCGCCGTTCGATCCGCCCTGCCGCCACTGCACCCGGGCCCCTTCCCATCCCGATCGCGCGACCCTTCGACGCGGACCCTCGAGTTTTATGCCTTAATGCAACGTGGTGCGTCCAAGCCAGGCATATGATGCCACGTTACAATATATATCTCGACCTCGATCATCGCTCTGTACTAACGAAACGAGCAGCAGAAAACAGTTGGGTGTGCGTAAGCATTTTAAGGTGGTAAAAATCCCAAAAATAATAAGTTCGCCCTCCACACACTTCCTCTCAGAAGTCAGACGTGTCGGACGTAACATACTCGTTAGTATATAATATCGAAACATGTATTACCTACATAGTAACACGAATTATAAAATGTAGCGTTTAATTATACTTAAATAAATATACTGTTTTGTAGTAATCTCCTAGTATACTCATTCAATTTAACAACTTAATGAGTTTCATTAGAAATATAGCATTTTTTTATTATTAATTTTTTACTGTCTATTTTGCAAGTAAGATGAACTAATGCTACCTATTTCATTTTTTCCCGTTATTCTTCTAGCGACTGTTAGTGAAACATTTACGACTACCACCTTGACCAGCAGTGGAATTTGGAGTTTGCATTTTATTTTCTTTCATGCAATATGTTGATGTCCAGTAGCTATTATTTGCGTACCTCGTCTAGTTGCAACTTTTCACCAACACCATACTGGTTGAGATCATTCGAGTGAAGGATTCACCCTCCACCGCTTTATTCGAAGGTAAGAACTTTTACCATGGTAAGCGCAAACGTTGGAAATTTAATATGATGAATATAATATATCGAGATTATAATTATGATTCTAAATCGATATTGCATAAATTATATTAGTCTTGAAATAGTCTTGGTATCGGAATGTATTGGAATTTTATCTGACCGCTCTATTAGTCATTATACCTATATAAAGTTCCTGCGATGCAACTTGTTAGAAAGCACAAATTGCGAGCATTACAATAAGGCATTTTCAAAACGTCTTATGTCTCGCTTTATGACGTCTTTTAAACGCCTCACTTGTAGACGGCGTCTTTTTTTGACACGGGCCGTCTATAAGACGTTAAAAAGCGAGACATAAGACCGTCTGAAGACGTCTTGTCAACATCTTGGTATTCAGTCAACACAACTTACAAACATGTTGATTAAACGTCGTTGGAAGGTCTTATATCTCGTTTTTTCATGTTGTATAGATGCCTCATGCTTAACAAAACAACTTTTTAATACGAGACGTCCTGTTTGGGTAATTTGTACTATGTGGAAAAGAGATCCGTTTTTCAATTTCAATGGGCATTGTAATTTGTCTGATGTGAATTTTTGGATTGTTGTAATTTGCTAGGAAATTATTGTCCAGAATCATCATATGATAGAAATCAAAGAGAGGTTTGTTAGACATGAGGCATCTATAAAACGTCAAAATCCACGATATAAGACTTTAAGACGTCTTATCGACATCTTCGTAATTTATGCTATCTGGAACGGGAACTACGCAGCGTTCGAGCAATTGCCGTTTCTGATAAATGCCGTTTCTGATTTTCTGATAAACCATTCTGTACAATAATTTTCTGAAAAATTATAACAACCCAAATCTTGCCTACAATGTATCCTACGAAGTAAATGTATAATTGCAAATATACTCACTTATTTGATTCTTATTTCGACTGTAATAGGCATTCACCACGGCCGGTGCTGTGTTCCACAAGGTCTTGTTAACGGGACTACCAAGGCGATCCTGCTCAACTCTGGTCAAATGTTGCAGAATGTTCAGGGTATTTTCAAAATATTTGTCTGGTCGGATAATAACCTGGTATTGAAATATTTGTTTAAAGTCATTTTTTAGATCTTTAAAACACAATGGGAAACAAAAATATTCGTACAAGAAGACTGAGGTAAATGGAACTTTAAATGTCTAGGTTAACTTTTTAAATCAAACACGTGATAAACATAAAATATGAACAACTTTTGTCATGATTTTATTGACTGCCAGTGTAGGTATGCTAATGAGAATCTTAGTTATCAAGTAGTTTCCTACAGTGTTTTCACTTTTTCGGTGATATATTATTGATTATATGGATATTATATGGAGTTTATTATAAGCATTGTCTTGAATAACTTACGTCCTTGTAGCGCTCGTCCAGTAACCGAGGTTCACGAATGAAATCTGGGTAACCTATTCTCAGAAGCATGGCGTCAACTTTTTCACCAGCTAAATGTTTTGTTTCATTGTCGATCCAGCAAGTTTTGTTCAACAATTCGAGGAACGATTGCTGTATCTCTCGGGTCATTGATAGCGTCTATAAATAGTAACAACTGTTAACATGTCGATATAAAGAAAATTGATTCACTATTTATATTTTTTTTAAACAGCAAATTAACCTTTCGCGAATGAGTATCAGGATCTTCCTGAGAGCATATTTTTACTATTCTGGATGTTTGTCGATTGATAGATAGAATTAAATTTATTAAAACAAATGAACAGCAACAGAAACACGGCGTGAATTGATTGGTTATTTAAAAAATACTGTCAGCGATGTTATTGCTCATGTTTACCCACTAAAACGTTTTATCCACAAAGGTTAATAATTAATGTATCATTTTAGATATTGTAACGTTTAAGGAATTAAACTACAGTTTATGGTTAAGTTGAATATTGAATTGACAGAACTCTTCATTATACTTACGTCATTTTTACTATTCTCATCGAAATATTTTCTAACAAACATTGAGCCAACGGCCATACCCATATTAGAGTTAACTTGAGCAATACAGTTTTTCCATCGCGATGGAGCTTGTTCTCTTCCAAATAAAATGAAATAAAACTTCTGTTTAGCTTCCTGGAAACGATCGTCCAGATTGTTCACTCTGTGTCTCACAAAGCGCCACAGCAGATAATTTGCGATTATCCTAAATGAAAGGGATTTCCATTACTGTTTGAAAATTTTTATTATAGGATTAAGTTATTGTGCCCACATGTCTTTCTTAAGGATATGTGTATCCAGGTGGCAGTCAAGTTACGTGAAATGTGAATTGAATTATCTTACAATTAGATTTAAAGTGGTTCAATTAAATTAACTTGGTAGATTGATACCTCGGTGGTGTCCTTGAAAGCAGATTTACAAGGTCTTGGATATATTGGAGAGCAAAAACCACTACTGGTTCCGAGATATTGGCTGGTCTCGCTAAGACAATTGTCAAATATCGATGCCAATCGATTTGCGGAATAACTGTTCTCAATTCCCCAATCGTCATTCTTTGATACAGTTCTGATACGTTTCTTCTTTCGTTGGGCGATGAGGTGATCTAATAAAATCAACGAGTTCAATGAGTTTAACCTACAATGATGTGATGACAAAACTCTGCATTCGACTCAGCTTCTACACGGAGAAAATGAAGGTCGAAGATTGTAGTTAGGAGTTACAAAAATCTGTATGCACAGAGCTAGAAAGTATAATATTTTAGGAACCAGTTCGGATTTCCCCTTTTACATCTAATCCTCATATCATCGTTGCGATACCACATTGTAATTATTATCTTCTTTTCAATACTTATTCACGTATTAATAGAATATTTAAAGCAGAATAGTATTCATTATTCATCTCACCGGCCTCATTTTCTCCACGTAAATTTAAACTTCAAATTTCCTTTTTTATTAGACGTTAATTGAACTATTAGAGTTTTTTTTCTATAGTTTGATCATTATCAAATTACATTGATTTGTGCGTATATCTAGTAAGTATGGCTTATGCGCGAAACAAGAAGACTATAAGGTTAGTTCTGACACATGCATCATGTTTCTCCCTAACAATGTAAGATTTGATTAAAAGAATATTCGTTTAGTCTATTTAAGATATAATAAGATAAATTTGAGTAAAAAACTCTATAGCCATTAATTCTTCTGGTCTGGGCACACAAATATGACCACAGATTTCATATTCCTTTATATCGTATAATATATATTGTATGTTATATTACATCATTTGACTGCCAGTAATTACACATTTACCGATATGATCTATCTGTACGTTAAATTTATTTCTGACGACAATATTTCAGAATGTACTTTCTGGTTTGTTGGGTAAAAAAAAACGATTTCTTAAATTGCATTTTCTTAAAGCTTTGCGTGTTTAGAATATGTGCCTAAAAGGGTTTTTGAAAATTCGTAAAATTGTACAAGTTATGGAACCACGAGTAACACAGGGCGCAGCTAACAAAATGAGAGCGCTAAAACTTTGAAGCTGTTTTCTGAACTGGTACAGGTGATAACTTGAGCAAAAATACATGAAATAATTTGAAATTTTAATAGTTTTTTTTCCAAACCACCTGAAAATGCTCATTTTTGTGCCTATCTAACCAGCGTAAAGTGGCTAATTGCAGTCCGATGACGGCGACGCATACGCACTTCGCAACTGAGCATATTACAATTTTTGCGCCCGCTATAGCAGGCTTGGCATTTTTTCCTCCGAAGTTCGTGAAATAAAATTTTTATCGGGTCTAATCTGGACATCGCGCTTTCAAATGGAGCTTAACAACAAATATCGTGTGGATCAAGGACGAAAGCACATAATATTTATTGTCGAAATAATAGTAAAAAATGGTCGAATACCGACATTTTTAGTGCCACTTTTTTTGCTACTCATTAATTTTTTACAATTCCGAGATTGCGGCTATAATTACGAGCCTATAGTTTAAAAATTTTTAAGATTTAATGAATTTCCTCAATTATTGCAGCACCTATTCCACTAGCACCTGTTTTCTCGAGGGGTCCTCTTTCCGCGGGCCAGTGTGCCGATTACCATTGAATTTCAACTTTAAAAAATTGTTTTGCACTCTTAAACCACGAATAAACATGTATATAAAATTGCAGAACAAATGGTTTATAGTTTTGTAAAAAGATTCGCAAAAACCAAGTGATTTTTACTTAACAAAGTAGAAGATTCTCTTAAACAGAGATATATTCTGACATTCGTAATTCTACAACGATTCGGGTTTTTTTTTTGCACTTTAACTTTCGTTGAGTGATATAATATGTTGCATTTGTATGATAGTGATAATTTCATGTATGACTCTGTCGTAGCGATAATTAAGATAACTGAAATAAAGTTATTAATATAAATATAAGGGTAACCTTTGTAATAGCATTTAAGCATTTTAATATTTTATCTATATTCTAAACTAAAACTATTAAACAAATTTGAATCTGAATAACCCGTTCGCTACCAGCGTTATACATATATTTTTTGCTAAGGAATACTTTGGAGACGATTTCATTTACGAAGCCGCTTATTTGAGGACAAGTGGCTGTTTGGGGACCGACCTCAAAGATTTTCCAGCGTAATGACTGCTTTGAGGACCATAAAGCGGACTCTCACACTAAATTTGTTTATATTTTTTCAATGTTAGACATCCAGTATTTGTTAGGTTAGGTTAAGTTAGGTTAGGTTAGGCAAGGCCTTGCGGGAGGAATGCAGCCGGGCGCGCCGCCGGTATACCAGATATCGGAGACGACAGGGCCGTACGGATATAGAGGACCTGTACAGGGCATATAGGGAGAGGACCAAGGTCTTGCAGGCCGCCATAAGGGAGGCGAAGACACAGCCATGGGGGGAACTCCTCCGGACGATGGAGAGGGAACCATGGGGGCGTCCATATAAACTGGTGATGGGGAAACTACGACAGTGGGCACCCCCTGTACGGAAACGGTCGACTCGGAGATGCTTCGACGGGTCGTCGGCGCCCTCTTCGACGCTGGGGAGAGGGAGGAAATGAGAGCCCTGTCGGCCGCGGATACAACAACAGCATGGTCCGCGCAGCCCGGGGTCATCCCGGAGGAGTTGGCCAGGGCAGTAAAGCGGCTGGGAGAGAAGGATACCGCCCCTGGCCCGGATAGCGTCCATGGCCGAGCCTGGGTCATGGCTTCCGGCGTCTTGGGGGCCCGATTGAGGAGTTTGCTTGATGGATGCCTGCGGTCGGGCCATTTCCAATCTATATGGAAGGGGGCGAGGATGGTTCTTCTCCGGAAGGAGGGTCGACCAGCGGTTTCTCCCTCCGCGTACCGGCCCATTTGTCTGCTTGACGAGGGAGGTAAGATCCTGGAGCGCATTATAGCTGACCGCCTTGTTGACCATCTGTCGCGGGTAGGTCCCTATTTGGCGGAGTGCCAGTTTGGCTTCCGGGAGGGGCGCTCCACGCTGGACGCGGTGTCTAGGGTGAGGTCCCCCTCGGAGGAATGGGTGTTCCAGGGCGGGAGGTGCTTGGCGGTGAGCCTTGACATCGTCAACGCATTCAACTCCCTGCCCTGGGAGGCGATCAGGGAGGCGCTAGGGTATCACCGGGTGCCGCCCTATTTGCGGGAGGTGATAGGGGAATACCTGAGACAGAGGTACATTATGTACCCGGGCCGGTGCGGGATCGAGCATAGAAGGGAAGTGCACTGCGGGGTTCCACAGGGATCCGTCCTGGGTCCCCTCCTGTGGAACCTCGCCTACGATAAGGTGCTACGGGTCGACCTCCCCGCTGACGTCACCTTGACGTGCTATGCGGATGACACGCTAGTGCTGGCGGGGGAGCAGGACTGGGGAAGGACCGTCCGACTCGCGGGGTAGGGGATGGCGAGAGTGGTCGCTGCGATACGGGGCCTGGGCCTGGGAGTGGCCCCTGCGAAGACGGTGGCGGTGTGGTTCCTGGGCGGGGGACGAGGGGGGTCTCCGGATCCAGGATCAGGATAGGGGAAGACTACGTCGAGGTCGGGGATCGGATGCGGTACCTCGGCCTCGACATTGACAGTCGCTGGCGATTTGAGGGCCTTTTCGACAATATGGCCCCCAGGCTGAAGAGGGCGGCGAACAGCCTATCGCGCCTGTTACCGAATCTCGGGGGTCCGAATGAGGAGGTCCGCCGCCTCTATTTGGGGTGGTCCGGTCGATGGCGATGTACGGAGCGCCCGTGTGGGCGGACGACTTGGCGGCCAGTGCGCGGTGTAGGGCGGTGTTGCGTCGGGTGCAGAGGCGGCTGGCCTGCCGAGTCGTGCGGGGGTACCGGACCATCTCCTTCGAGGCGGCGGTGGTGCTGTCGGGGGTCCCGCCAGGGTGGGACTCCGGTGACGGCGCGGGGATTGAGGAAGTAGGGCGACGGGCCCGGCGTGGGAGTCGCTCCCGGTGGCGTGCGCGTTTGGTGGCGTGCGAGGGGCAGCGGGCGGTGGGGGCGGTCTTGCCAAACCTGGATGAGTGGCTGGACCGAGGCCGGGGTAGGTTGACGTACCGAGCGACACAGGTGATAACCGGGCACGGTTGTTTTGGGGTGTACCTGTGTCGCATCGGTAAAGAGGCGACGGCGAAATGTCATCACTGCGAGGGGGATCGGGACACGGCGTAACATACGCTGAAGGAGTGTCCGGCCTGAGAAGAGCAGCGCCGTGTTCTGGTTCAGAAGGTGGGCTCGGACCTCGCGCCCCCGGCCCTTATCAGGGCCATGCTGAGAAGCGAGGGGGCGTGGGAGGCGGCGATCGCCTTTTGCGAGGAGGTTATATCACAAAAGGAGGTTGCAGAGAGGGAGTGGGAGAGAAGAGACCACGCTCGGACTGGAGAGAGGAGGAGGCATAGGCGCGGTGGTGCAAATGCTTCGCCTTTGCCATGAGGCCCCTCATGGAGGTGATGGGGGAACGGTTACGGACAGTTTCCTTCAGGACCGGCAGGCAGAGGAATGTGGTCATCCTTGCTGGCCGGCGAGAGAAGGTGGGAACACCACCATACCCCCCTCTCCGGAGGGGGGGGTGGTGAACAAATGCCCTCCTTAGGGCAACAACCGGGGCCGCCGGCGGTCGGAGCGGAAGAGCTCCAGCTGTCAGGATGGGCGGCCGAGGTGGGAGGCGTGAGCGTATGGCCCGGTCACGCCTCGTAGGAGGTACGGGGGAGGGGTGTCCCCCCCGAGGGAGTGCCGCAAGGCGGGGCGCAAGGGGGGGTACCGGTCGTGTTCGAGAAGAGTTCCCGGTGCCCCCCGCAAAGCGCAGAGGATGGCCACCGTGGGGGTTTTAGTCGGTAGGAATCCGACACTACCCTGCTCTTCCCTCCAAGAGAGCGGGGTGTCTATAAAGATTTCCCCCACGATAAAAAAAAAAAAGTAAGGCCTAATTGGTCTAATTGGCGTGCACCCCCTGGCACGGGGGATACCATGGGTGGTAGATCATTTCTGATCTCCGCTCGCAGCTTGCTGTGCCACTTAGGGGACCCAGGACCACTCTCGGATTGATGAGTCTGGCCGGGTCCGGCGTCAGTGACGACCATCGACTAGGACATCTTCCCAGTGAGGGTCGGACTGTCCAGGAGGGATGCCTGGGAAGTGGCCGTGCGTGGAGCCGTTAGGACGGCGATGAAGCGTTCGGTCCATACCACTGACCTGCGAATGTCAGTGGGAGGAGCTTAATAACTCCAGTCCGACTCGAGTCGCCACTGGCTGCTCCGACACTGGAGGAGATCGTAATCTCCGGTGGGGTGAGCGGGTCCGGTCAGTGCCATTGACCGGGCCTGTGATTTCTGGGAAGGTCTCATCGTCATGCGAGGGACCTAAAGAACTGATGTGAGGCCTAAAACGGCTCAACCAGTGCCCCCGAAACCACCTCCCCTTCTAGGTGTCGTCACCTTGTCGCAGTGAAGGGGCTTGCGTGTATCAATGACCCTCAAGGCTATACCGGCGGTGGCGATGGCCCCCAGCAGGTCCAACCATGCCGGGCATGTTTGAGGTGAGCCGCCTCTACGTGGGGATCGTGCGGTCCATGGCGCTCTACGGAGTGCATATCTGGGCTGGGGATCTCATGGCCAGCTGCCGTGGAAGCGCTAAAATGCGGGGGCTCCAGAGGTGGCTGGCTGGAAGAGTTATAAGGGGGTACCGCACGGTCTCCGGTGAGGTGGCGGGGGTGTTGGCGAGGGCGATTCCGTTCGACCTCCGGGCCAATATAGAGGAACGGGTGTACAGGGAGGTGCACACGGGGCTTGGAGGTCGGAAGGAAGAGTCCCTGTTGGCACGAGAGGTGCGATCCCTGAGGGTCCAAGCCCGGCAGGACACGGTGGCCGAATGGCGAGAGCGTCTCGAGGGGAGCCGTGGCCACCGGACTGTCGGGGCGATCCTTGCCAATTGGGAGGGCTGGCTGGATCGTGGCTGGGGAAGGGTGTTTCGGTGGATACCTGTGGAGGATAGGGAGAGAGGCGACGGCGCAGTGCCACCATTGTGGGGCCGGCCAGGACACCGCGCAACACACCCTGGAGGTGTGCTCTGCCTTCGGCGGGGAGCGTGGTGTCCTGGTCGGAATAATAGGGGATGACCTCTCGCTGCCCGCCGTCATTGGTAAGATGGTCGGAAAGGAGAGGGGTCGGAAGGCGGGGGCTCGGGGGGGCCCCGGTAGCGTTCATAAGAGATCCCGGGGTTCCCCTGTGGAGTCCTTAGGTGCGCCACCGTGGGGGTTTTAGCAGGTAAAAATCCTGCACTACCCCCCCCCCCCCCCCC